AACCATAAGAATGTGTAGAAAATCCCTACCTCAAAGAGAGAAGTTGAGTAAAGTAAGGATGAAACTTCAAAGATGCTCAAACCCAACTCTATTCGGATAAAAATGGAGATCTTGAGATGCTCACTCTTTTTAACAAAGGCAAATAGGTGGAGAAATTACTAGAACTAAGTGAAAATGTAGAGAGAGAGAGATAGAGAGTGTGCTTTAGAGAGATAGGGTCTCAACTTTAGGTTTTAGGAAGAAAAGATCTAAATAAGTGATGTAAAAAGTCACTTTCACGAACTGATATACGCATAGTTCGCTTGAGCGCAAGAAGTGACGCTTGAGCATCAAACACAACAAGTTGTTCCGCTCGAGCGCTAAGACACAATGAAAAAGACGCTCACTGCTCAAGCGCAAGAAATGACGCTTGAGCGTAGAAAACACACATCCAATAGTTTTACAGACATTTGACCAATCGCTCGAGTGCAAAAAGAGGCCACTCGAGCGCAATAAGACCTGCTCGAGTGTAGAAAACACTCTCCTAGTAGTTTTGCAGACCTGAGAGTTTTCAAATCCCGCTCGAGTGTAAGAAGTACTGCTCGAGCGGAGGAGTAAATCCTAGGCAACAAGAGTTTGGAAAACAAGCAGACAACCTGTCCCAAACACAACCACAATAATCCAAAAGGCTAATTTAAGGGTAAACAAAGGAAATAAGAGATGGATCACAATACTATAAACGATGAAACCCGAGTCTGGAGTACAACAACGATCGGGTCAAAACCGGAATCGCCATATTTTTATTTTTTCCAAAAAATATTTTCTTATTGTTTTAAATATTAGCTAAATAATTTGTTATGATTTAAATATATATGGGCGATCCAAATTTTTTTTAAATTTAAAAAAATTGAAAATTAAATATTTAAAAGAAATAAAAATTAATTAAAAATATTTGAAATATTAAAAAAATTAAAATATTACTTTGAATTTTTTAAATATAAGAATAAACATGTTGCAATGTTATTGGTTGTTGGATTATCAAGACAATATATTTTAATTAGCTCAAATTTATGAAAGTAAAGTAAACGAGATATATATATATTTTAATTTGGTAAATGAGATCTTCAAGGTTTTCAAACTTAGTATTAGTATATATATACGTCCTGTCGCTTATATAAAAATATTTTAAAATTTCCAAATATAATCTAGAGTTATAAATAAAAAATAGATAATAAATTGGCATTCTAAAATAAAAAATCTATGTATTACAAAATTAATAAATATTTCATATATCATACACTAATCTTACTATTTTTTTTTTTTAAGAAAAAGTAATCTTTGTCCATGAAGTAGAGTAATTTTTTTTTTTAATTTTTCATTTCCTAATTATACATTTGTCGTAAAATCTAAAATGTATTTATTACAAAATCAATAAATATTTCATATTTCATACATTAATATTTATCCATCAAGTATAGTAAATTTTTTAAATTTTTTTGCAAAACAATATCTATATGTATCTATCCATCTATATATTTGTATTATATATTAAACAAAATAAATTTTTCGAGAAGAGACTTGTGAAAACTACAATACTTCTAATTAAATTTGTGAATTTTTTTAATTAAAAAATAATTTTAAAAACACTATTGACTAAACCATTAAACCAATAATTATAAAAATAGTAAGGATTCCAAATTTATATTTTTCAGAAGGAAACATAAAATAATCTCCTTCTTGATTTACCCAAATCTATTATCTCTCATAAAATTCAAAGGGAAAAATTAAGAGATACCCAAAATACTAATTACAAATTTTTAAGTACTGATTCATCTACCTCATTTAATTTAAAATCTATACTATTATATAAATAAAAATGTTGGACATCTAATCAATATGGTAATTGAATTTTGAAATGTCAATTTAATTTTTTTTTCAATTTTAAAAATATAAAAATACACATGTCATGAAATTATTAGACATTTAATCAATATTGTAATATATTGGACATTTAATCTTACTGCCTTAAAACATTGTTAATTTGATCAATATGGTAGTATTATAATTGATATTTTATCTTAACTCTTTTAAAACATTATATATATATATATATATATATATAGCAGTTAAGTCAAATATTTTAACTTTTCAAAATTCAAAATATGTATCTATCTATCTATTTGAATTTAGCTGGTAAAGATAGCTTGATTGAGATATAATTTAAGAAAAAAAAATTCATTGGTATAATATCGGAAGTATCTACCCATGTCTTGGACAAAAATTATCATGTCATGTGATAATTATCATCTAAACATCCAGGTATCTTCCGTTAAAAAAAATTGAATTATTATAATTCAATTTATTTATGCCATAAATTATTATTATTTTTATCTAAGAGACTCTAGGAGATTGAAATTAAAAATTAAAATTTCTCAAAATTTTTACTCTTTTTTTTAGAAAGTCAAAATTTTTACTTTTCAAAAATTATGAAATACCCATGTTACAAAACTATTGATATATCTAACCATATCTAATTAAAAAGGGATTTGGTTAAAACCCCTTCATAATAAAATTTTAATGCATTAAAGATAAACACACAAAGTTTTCGTTGAAAAGTTCAACACTTATTACTATTATCAAAATACTAAACTTTAAAATAATATAACTTTTGATCTATATGTCAATTTTTAATAAAATTAGTATTTTTACAATTCTTTTATCAAGATCTATCAAATAAGATCCATATTGACTACGAAATTCATAACATATATATATATAGATATATATTTATTTATTATTACCGTCGAAATTGATGTAAACAGTAATATGTTACTTTGTTTGACAGTAATATATTACTCTAGCAATATTGTCTAAGATTTTTTTATTTTTTTTACTTTGACGCTACTTAATTATGCATCTCCTCCTGAGGGAGTTTATGAAATAAAATAAATTGAATTGTTTCTTTTACCAAATAAGGGTCCAATAGAGGGATTTTAGCTAAATTTTCCAATTTAAAATCTTAAAAAGTGAGTTGACTTTTTGACTTTTTGGTTTTTTTTGGCTATTTTAGCCTGGGCTAAAAAGCTTGATTTGGAAAGGCTTTTTGGCTTTTTTGACTTTTTTTGTGGAGAAAGTGTAATGATTATGGGTTAGATGTGATGTTTTGTTTGTTGTGACTAAAATAACCTATTTTATTTTTTGTGGCTAAAATAGTCAAAAAAAACCTGGAAACCTTCTTCCCAAACGGTGCTATAAAAAGTTCAAAATAAAATCTTAATTATATTTAAGTCAAATCACATTTGAATTCAAAATATTTTAGATAAAAATTTTAAAACGAAATGTTAATTATACATATTTAAAATATTTTTTTAAAAAAATAGTATCAAATAAAATTTTAATAATACTATAATGACTGTTGTGGCACATAACACTAACCACATATACCATATAAGGTCCATCAACTATGTAATTAGTGTCATATAAAATGTGACATCATATAATACCTATAGATATGATAATTAAAATGTAGTCTTCTTAAAAGTTACTTAAAATTTAATTTATAAAATTATGCATAATTTATTAAAAATAAATACATTTCATTTTTTAATTCGGGTCCAATGATATACCCAATTCAAATACATATTTATTTATTTATTTTGTGGCTTCATATATATATATATATATTTTAAATAATAGCATGTTTAAATAAAAATATTATTATCCAACAAAGTCAAAATCGCATAGGTATTCTTGGTTTTTAATTTTTTTTCCTTATATATTTTAATTGTCTCAATTTTTTTTTAATCTTTTATTTTAAAGGAATATATAGCAAATGAGAAAACTATGGAAATAGAGAAATAGTGAAAAAAAGAGCTAGTTTGGGAATTGAATTTTTTAGTGACTTTTTAATTTTTTATGAAAAAAATGTGCAAAAAAATATTGACTTTTTGTAGTGAATCTTTGACTTTTTAGTTAGATATATCATTCCCTAGTAAGGCCCCTAATATACTGATTTTAGCAGTCAGAATAAGATTTATAATCAAATACAATGTTTTTACGAAGGGGTATCGACTAAGTTAGGATAACAAATGTAATGACCCAAATTTGGTCAACTTTCAGCGACGAAATTCTTCATTTTAGTCGCCATTTGTGCTTTTTCTTGTAGTGTAGGTGTGTGTCACCCAATATTTTTTTTTTTTTTTTTTGCCAAATGAAAAGATAGTCAGATGGGTTTGATGGAAAATAGAATATATGATGATGGATTATGGGTGGGATATATTATAGCATGATGATGTTTTCAGTGGGGTGGTAATTGGGATATTATTTTATTTAGAGATAACATAGAGAGAGTAGTGTGCATGAGGGGAGGGAACAAAAGCATACACATGGCTGTCTATTTTACTCTTTCGGTGGACTATAAAACAAAGAGAGAATGATAGGAGGGAGGAGGCATGGTCAGAAAACAACGCTGCTACAGGGCTTGAACTTTTCAAGCTCGAATTTGTCCGAATCCAAAACGACGTTGTTTTGAATTATCTTACCGGTAAGAGAATTTTATTACATGTTACCGGTAAGAGAATTCAAAACGATGTCGTTTTGGGTTTCGAGCCAATTTCGAGCCAAACGATTTGGGACCCTCAAACATTTTTTGTCAGAAAAACAAGATGGTGGAGAATGATTGATTAAAGAGAGTGTGTGGCCCCCCATAATTGCACACAACACAATACAGGTACAGGAGTGTAGTAGTTTAATTCAGTGACACATGAAGCCGAGCCAGTGCTGGATTTTGGAGTTGCCTCTGGTCATATTTCCTTTCTGCGACTTGATATGCATACAAACGGGCTAATCAAGTAAAGAACATGTTGCAGCAGAGTACTTGGCACTCTTGCTGAGTTTTGTTGGCAATAAAAATTCTTGTGGTATTCAACTCCTTCAGTACTTCATCAATTGGAGAAGTCAAATTGCTATATTTCGGGAAGGATGCATGATGGAGGATTGGGTAAAAAAGTTTGAGAAGTTTGATGGGTCTAAGGGCTCAAGATCAAGCTCCACACGGGTTTGCTTATAAGAACCCCACAACTTTCTCATCATCAGCATTTGATTTCTTTCACCAAAACACTAATGATGATCAGCCCATTTCCCGATACCCATGTGTAGCAACAATTTGCTCACCATTGGCTCTAGCAGCTACAGTGGAATCAGCACTGGCATATGAGAGCAAATCAACAGGACCGAAAATGGGTGGGAGACGAGTGGGAGCAGGTGCCATTGCTGGGATGCTGTTTGGTTTCGTATTTGTGGTGATTTTGCCAATGAGAGTCTACTATGGGGTGGCCACTCGTCAAGCCAATTTGAGTTGAAGCTATTGTGTTCAACTTCAACCTGCTTGATATGCTCACCTCAGCTGTTGGAGGAGTGGCAGCTCTGCTAGCAAAGATCATGTTTCTGTTAGAGAAACTCGGGGACGATAAAATTATGATACACAAGGATACAGTGTATATCCTTTGAAGAAATTCAAGTGGAGCGATCCTTAATTCAGTGTGTATTCTTGTTATTTTATGAAGGACTGTGTGGGACTTGGATAGTCATTAATTGAAGAAAAGTAAACAAACATCAATGGTCTGTTTCACTCCCTGTGACTGTGTATGCTAGTTATTTGGCACTTAATTTTGTCAGAGAACGAAATTGAGTAGGGATATTGATGGTTGAAGAGTTAGATGTTTAATTCAGAAATTGAGACTCTTTAAGCTTTTAAAAAGAAGTACCATTTCTCAATCCATATTCAAGCTACTATAATTTCATTCTTTGTGAGGTTACGTCTGGACAGGATGCTAAGAAATTGAAGTTCTTGAGGCCAAAGTGAATAGCTTGGTGAGAGCAACATTTTGATCGGTAGAGATCAAAATCCGGCAAAATCAAAAATTTGGATTTTTGGCTTGTTTCCTCTTCTAGCTTGAAGTAGGGATTTTCTACACTCTAATATGGCTTTTAGCTTAGTTATTTGCTATTGTGTATAGATGACGAGATTTGGTTGTGGTTTGGACAAAATTTAAGATTTGGGTGTGAAATGAAAAGAGGGGTTTTTGATGTATAAGATATAAATGAGTATGGGGTTTGAATATAAGATCTTGGTGTGCCAAAATGGTTGATTTTGGGTGTTTGGGTCAATATTGGAAAAAGGAAAACTTTTGCCCTAATTTGATAAAATGATTATTTTGTATAAATAATTGGAATTAACATTGAATATGTTAAATTGGATGGTTATTTATATAGGTGGTGAAATTGGATATGTGTTATCTCACACATTTGGAAGTTTTAAATAATTATTATCTTGAGATTTAATATATGTCTAGAAATAAATGTATTGGGCTATCGGTGGAGGAAAGTCATGATTGTTGTAGAAATTGTATGAGGATTAGGCGATTTAATGCTAATCTATTGTTGGTTGTCATTGAATATGACCGTACTATAAATACATTGTATATGTATGTTTATTGGGAGGAGAGGGATGTACTCCATATATGATTATGTTTGCAAATACATTGTATTTGTATATTTATTGGGAGGAGATAGGGGATGTACTCCATATGTGATTATGTTTAGAAATACATTGCATATGTATATTTGTTTGGGAGGAGAAAGGGGATAGACTCCATTTAAAGCAAGTTGGCCGGAGTATCCTGGGTGAAAGACCCGAAATTTTATATATAAATGGGTGCCGCTTCCGTCGGACGAAATATCCGTAAAATGGCAAGATTGAAGTGTTTATGTGTGTTTTGCCTAATTGAAAAACCGTTGAGTTGTAGTCTCATTTTGGGTGTTGAAAGATAATGAATTTAACTCATGAAGTGAGTAGCATATATGAACTTGTAGTGAATTGAAGGAAAATGGAATAAGAATGGTTTTAGTGGCATATGGATATGCAGGCCTTGTGGATGCTTCCATATCGGTATTGTTTATGTACGTGGTACATGTACGTGGTATTTATACCTTTGCTAAACCTCATAAATTGTGTTAGATTATTTCTACTGGGCTGTTGGCTCACTTTATACGGGAATATCATTTTCAAGTGCAGGTGAGATGTTTCCTCCAAGGCAATAGCATGGATGGACTTTCAGGAAGCAAGAGCTTCTCATTTGTGCCTTATGTGTGTATGTTTGTTATTTGTAAAGCCGAGGGCTTAAGATGTAATGAGCGGGACTCGCTTTATGTAACCAAGCAATGATTTGAAAAGATGTAAGCCTACATGGCATTTAACTGGTTGTTAAACAGTGAACTCTGATATATGAAAGTATGTTGTTTCTCATATTTATTTCACATATGAGTTATCTTTATTGTATTATTTTGGGGGACGTTACAACTTGGTATCAGAGCGTACCGGGTTCGAATACTTTGGGTATGTGGAGAGTGGTTAGTACCAAAGTGGGTTTATCTCGCTTGATAGAGATATTTGTATGATGAGGTGCTATGCGTTAACGTGTTTATGTGATTATATGGGTATGGGGTTTGATTTTTGAGATGTTGATTTGGTCTGTGAGTTCCTGGAAGTCCAGTTGGAAGAGCACTTGATCATTGCTATTTCTGATTGGAACTCTAGCAATGTCACGGGACAATCATTATCTAGATAGAAGTTCTGTATGTGCTTATGTGACTATGTGCTTATATGGTTTGCCTTATGTGATGTAGATACATGTATAGGTTTATGTTTAATCCGTATGCAACGTGTTAGAACTAGTGTGGGGTACTTACTTCTAAGCTAAGTTCTGTCTCGTATATTAGAGGTCATAAAGCGGGAGAGGCTGTAATAGAGGCACTTGGGGTGCCCGAGATGTTCACATGTAGGAGGATACCTTTTCCCCAGGAAGAAGGTGTAAGCTAGAGTAATATGGCCGGGATGATTGGTCAAGATGTTGTGGAATTAGTATTGAAGCATAGGTTCACCGATTTGTATGATTATGGGTGTAAATGTGACTTTAAAATAGCAGAGTTTGTGTTGTGTAGTGACTAGTTTGTTGTTATGAGGAGTTAATTATTTTTCAATTTTATATCAAGTTTGTGGAAGTGGACTAGATGAAAAATCTTAGAAGTAGAATAAGTTAGAGATTAACCTTATTATAATATATGGTTTGGTTGTGACTTTAATGATGATTAAAGTAATCTAAGATAATATGCTTTGGATTGTTGACATTAGAACACGTAAAACTAGTTCTAATTTTTTTTGGGATAGACGAAGTTAGTTATAGTTGGATTGTTTCACTTGCTTGATGGGTTACTTGTGAGGTTAGTGATGGGCATTAGGGCAACTATTTTGTATGTGTTTGGGAATAAACGTGGTCTTAGCATGATAGAAATTATAGTGTGTAGTAAGAAATGTGTTTCCTAGAGAGTTTGTTTTATTCATAATTTTGCCGCAAATCCTAAGAGGGCAAATGAGATAAATAATTTTGAGATAGATTAGAATGAGTTTAAATTTGATTGGGGTTGCGCTTTTTGATTGAATTTTTAGTAGTAAAATATATATATAGTGACTTGTGAGATGACATTTGGGATATGTAGCCAAGTGGTGTATGCTTTTAAGTTTGATGGAGCTAATTGTCTTAGAGTTGATTGTTGATGTACCCAAGTGCAATAAGTGTTTAGGGATATGATGTAATTGATGTCTCGGGAGTTGTGTTAGAAAACCAATGTCTTTAAAGAAAATTTTGAAATAATCATGTGAGGATGTTGTGATTCTATGGAGATTATGATCAGGTGCTGTAGACACCACATTTTTGACCGTTCTCAAGACTTGGACGTCACCATTTGAACACTCGGTGATCATCCATGCTCGTGTTCGTTTTGAGTTCCCGGAGGTCTCGGCTGCGCGTCTTGCCTCAAGATCTCTTAACTTGACTGTTTTGTGCTTGGTTGTGGATCAAACACTTGTGTTTTTGCTTTTGAAGGAAGAAGGTGGCTTGTTGGCCATTTCCTCAACCCATCGGCCAAGGCATGAAGCCATCGGCCCCTTTTTCTTGCCATCGGCCAAAGGTGTTGGCCGGTCGGCACTTTTTTTGGTTGGTCGGCCACCTTTATTGGTCAATCGACCATATTTTCCGGCTGAACCCTTTCCATCTTCTTTTGGCAGATATTTTATGCTAGCTGTCATAGCTGGCATGCATAATCCACCCCTTCCATGCACGTGTATGGAGGGATTTGCACCTTGTGTTGGCTTCTCCAAGAAGCCTTGGAATTGGATTCCTATAAGAAGGGAGTTCCTCCTCCCTTCTCAGGGGTTCAAGAAATCTGATATACAAGATATATATCTATCTCTCTCTATATTTCCTCTCTCTCTACATTTGTGTATGTGTTTGTGCTTAAAAGGGTGTTTTCTTCACACTTTTGCACTAGAGTACCTAGTGATACACCATCCTTGAGCTGCTGAGGTGCTAAGGAGTTGGTTTTAGAGTTCTTGAGATGCTTTTGATCAGAGAAACCTGTTGGAGGTGTGTTCTTGAAGAGGTTCTACAAGGGTGAGCTCTTAACCTTTTAATATCCAATTTTGGCTTAAGCTTTTAGACTTACTTGCATATTGTTTTAAGCTTAGCTCTAAACTACAAAAAGTTTTGATTTTATATGCTTGTTTTAGTTGCTTAAGGTCACTTTTTGGTTGGGGGTTGTCTACCCCCTCTTAGGCCTTGTTTGGTCCTATTTTGTGCCTTTCTTCTTGAGCTTTCGTATCATCTCATTTTGACTTTCTCACCACTGAAATCCAGAGGATTTTCAGTGGTGGAGAAGTGGTTTTGAGGTCTTGACTAGGAGAGGGACACCCCCCTCTCCTTATGTCTCATATGCTTGTGTTAATGGGTCATGATGTTAGCATGTTTACTTAGCATGTCTTGGTTCTATTTCAACACTTTTTAGTGGCTTTTAGGACCTGCCTTAACCCTATTCCATGTTGGTTTGATAGCATCTTGCATGCTTCACATACTTGTAGAGTAATCTTGCATGTTTGCATAACATGCATCTTGTGTTTGGACCATCATGCTTGCATATTTTGGCTCAACTCAAAGGAGCTTTTAGTCATGTTTTACCATGTTTAAGCTCTGTTTAGTGTTGTTTGGATCATGTGTGCAATGCTTTGTATAGCGACCATACATTTTAGCTTGCAAGCTTTGTGCCTTGAGTTCATTAGCATGTGTTACTTGAAGTATTTTCATGATTTGGCATCATGTGAAATGTGATTTCAGTCCATGTTTTATGGTCACACACTTGCATTTATCGCCTATTCCATGCTTTGGATAGTTTGTGTTTTATGCCTTGAGAATAGGTCATTGTGCATGTCATCATGCTTAGGCCTTTAGGATGCCATCTAAGTGGGTTT